TAAAAAAAATAAAAATAAATTATAATGATATATTTATAAATAATTTAGTAAAATAATATTTTTTAATTAAAAATATTTTAATGCTTAAATATGTTTTTAATTCCTCAAATGTAAAATTGTTATTTTTAGTTCTATAATTTCAAAAAAATCTTATTTTAGTGTTTATATTCAAATTTTGTTAAGAAATTTATCAAATATTATTATATAAAATCTACCTATTGATATCTCTATTAGTGAAAACATCACATTAAATCTAATTGATATTGTATAACCGTCTTATTTTATCACTTCAATATGTCTTCATAGAGATGCCATCAAATATGACAAAGTTCACTTATAACTAGCTATTAGGAATATTAACTCTAATTTGTACTAAATACTACTTAACTATTTCAAATTTTATTCTATTTTATTGATTTGGACTAATTTTTTCATTGTCTTGTGGTTAAATAATGATGGAAGAGTTATGAGGCCATCGTCGGGAACATGACCATACTAGAGGAAAGGTTGTAGTATGTGGATTTTACAGTGACATGTGTAGAATCAAGATTGTCAATGATAGTTCCATCTAAGTACGAAGAGTCAACATAAATGTTCACGAGGCCCTTTACCTGGGAACTATGGATAGTTACACGTGTAATTTTGATTTACACAATGTTAGCTACTTGGTACCCTGAAAGAGAATCCAATCCAGAGTTTGATGGCAATTGTAAGAGCTAGATAGCACTGCTCTTTGGTTTACCTTCTTTTATCTATTATTTGCTCATAGTGAGTATCACTATCAGAGTTCCTAACAACTTTGATTTTAAATAGACTTACGCAAAGCAAATGATCTGTAGAAAAATTTTTCCTCGATGGAAAATGTGAATTAAACTAGAGTAACTGTTTTTCATCATGCAGGGGGAAAAATGCATAGCAACTTAACTCGCATAGTGATGATATCATGGCTCTTTCTAGTTCTGATTCTCACCTCATGCTACACTGCTAGTCTTTCTTTTTTGCTCACGGTTAAACAACTGAATCCAAATGTCACAGACATTCAGTGGTTAAAAGAGGAACAGCATGAAAATTGGTTGTGATGGGGACTCATTTGTTAGGTCGTTCCCAAAGAAAGTGGAGAAATTCAAGCCTAAGAATATCATAAATGCGACTAGTGAATACAAGTATGAAGATGTATTTCAAAACAAGAGCATAGCAACTACCTTTCTTGAACTCCCATATGAAAAAGTATTCATTAGTGAAACCTGCAAGTCTGCAACAGATACATTGGTTCCACTCCCATAACCAGATTTTGGAGGATTGGGCTTTGTAAGTGATTATAAAATTTGACATATTTATGCATATTCAGTTGTGTTTGTTGTTTTTGAATAATAGGCGCACAGATGATAACATAAAACACTAAATAAATATTTTAGATAATAAATATTTTAGATAAATTTTTCTTGAAACATGTGATGATATTGACCTTAAGGACTTATCCGTATTATACGCATAAGTCTCTAGAATATAACATGATTTAGGGTCATCTAAAGTAACTTGAAAAAGAGAACTGACAAGGAAAAAATCAAGTCAATAACCTAGAATAGAAAATAGAGAGAGCTAAAGTGTTTTTTTGGATGATTAAATAGTGACGTGGAAACCTCTATTTATAGAGTTACTGTAAAATCCTAAAACATCCAAAAATTAATAAGTTTATTTAATTATGAACATTGGAGAATAAAATCAGTCATATTCCATGTAAGATTTATCTCAACTAATTAAAATAATTTAATGTAATCAAAAATAAAAATATTTTCAAATCTCATTTTTCAAAGTGAGGCGCAGGATGTGGACACGACATGACTTAACTTAGGATCTTGATTACCTTGTACAATTTCTTTTATCTTTTATTTTAAAACTTTTTGAATAAACAGCTGTGTTAGCAAAACAGATGGAAGTGTCGCGTGAAGGCACGATATCAACCTTTTGTGAAGTTTATGGCCTTTTCACGAATGACATCATCCATAATTGGCTCTTCCACTCTTCTGAGAGCATGTGTAATGGAGTTCTTTATAAGAAACTTTTTATGCCACATCATTGTTAAATCAGTTCTGATTCACTTTATGGATTGTTTAAATTTTAGCAGAGTTTCTTGTAGAAACAATTCTGCTAAAATTTAAGCAACTCATAAAGTGGGTCAGAGTTGATTTGGCAGTGATGTGACATAGAGAGTTGCTTTGCAGATGCTCTGATGTTCTTAAACAGAGCTGTTAAAAAAAACTACATCGATAACTATTTGTATATGAAACTACAAAAAAAAAATAATAATAAAATAAAATTTGCCTTAGCTAAAAATGTCTGTGATATATAACACATACATCTATGATTTATATAAGAATTTACATAAATAATTTATATAATAACATTTATTCCCTGTACATTTCTTTATCACAAGGTTCATAATATCTCATACTTTTCAACATTAATCTAAAATATTAAAACTATTATTGGAAAGTTAAATATACCGGGCTTAGAGTATATCTGATGAGATGAGAGTTGTTTGTGACTTGTGAGGTTTTCAAAACTTCACTAATTGTTATGCACCATTAGTGTATTTGATGAAATAGTTATATATGAATAATTACTCATATAAGCAATGATTTCAACAATTATTAAGACTTGTGAGATAATTAGAAGACCCATTTTAAGTTTTTCAAGATTACATCATTAGAAAAAAAAATAAAACCATAATCATGACATTATAAAAATCACCAAAACTTAATTAAAAGATTATGTTGTTACTGATTACTGCAGATGATTTGACAAAGAGAACAAGGGTTCTTCACGATGGAGGTTCATGGGCCAAGGGCCTAATTACTAGGGTTATGGTTCGAAGACTAGAAGAGGATTGAGCTAACATCAAGGAAAAACTCATGACACTTTTTAGTTAGATTGTTCATTAAGGCCCATGTAGACTAAGGTTGGCCCACTTAGGCTTGTATTTTGCTTGAGGGCCTTGTATTTTGGTCAAGTAGAATAGGTTGATTTTTAAGCCATGTATTTCAGCCATTTTAATTCTTAAATTCATGTGAGTTTGTTTCTAATGAAATTTGAGACATATTTAGGGTGCATTTAGAGTCATGTGAATAAGGGTTGATCCATGCTTAAGCAAGGTCAGGGGTTCGAATCCTGTCTTGTGTATGCAGTCGCGTTAAATCTTGGGGCCAGCTATCCCACCCTTTGAGATGCCTCCAACGTAGCGAGGAGATTAATCACTGCTATCAACAGTGGATACTCCAAGGACGAACTACCAAAAAAAGAGTCATGTGACCAGCCATGTGGTTGGTGCACATGGTGTAACTCAAATTCACCTCAAATGTAAATCAAATCACATTAGAATGCAAGAATCACATGTGCCATAAGGATTTGCAAATAGGTGCCGAGAATCTAGGAGATAGAATTCAAATTTGAATTTAGGTGCCAAGGGTTTAAATTAACCATACCATGATTAATTTAAACTCTCGGCCAACCTAGTTTCCTTAGCACTTTTTTCGTGGATTATATATAGTTTAAGACCTCGTGTAGTTCTCACTTTTGAGTATTTTATGAGAAATTCTTCTACATATTTCTCTCTAGTTGAAAGTCATCTTCTAAATAAAATGTGATTTTGAATTAATTTCAATTTCAACGGAATTCAAATTATAATTATTAATTATTTCATGCGTTAAATAGCCTGTTTGAAAACAAGGAAGACGCATCGGTTGCTATTTTTCTTTTTTCAACAAAAAATTTAACTGAGTAAAATAAAATGTAAATGAAAAAAAAAACGTAAATACACATGGACAGTGGACATGGTTTTTGTTTAGACGGAATTAAAAAAGGAAAAAAAAAATATTTAAACGGGCGAGAAAAACCAAGGAAGGAATAAACGAAAAAGATAAAGAGAAATAATGATGCAATTGCAATTGGTGTGGGCGTGTAGGTGTAGGGTTCCGGCACGTGTGGGAGGCGTAAGCAGAAGAACAAGTGTGAGAGCAATGCGAGCGGTGGTTCAGCGCGTGGCCTCTGCCTCCGTCGAGGTCGAAGGCCGCATCGTCTCCGAGATTGGCCCCGGCCTCCTCGTCCTCGTCGGAATCCACGACTCCGATTCCGACGCCGATGCCGATTACATGTCATCTCCACCTTTTTCAATCCAATTCCCTTCGATTCAACTCACCGTTTCTTAACTTGTTTTATTCTCTTAACAGATGTCGTAAGGTCTTGAATATGAGGCTTTTTCCAAACGAAATTACTGGCAAAGCGTGGGACCACAGTGTAATGCAAAAAAATTATCAAGTTCTATTGGGTGAGTCATTGAGTCACTGAGTGAGTATTCGCATTTTTAATCTTTATTATGGGAAGCAAAACCGTTCGTTTTTTTAATAATTTTTGTTTCTAACAGTGAGTCAATTTACGTTGTATGGATTCTTGAAGGGTAACAAGCCAGATTTTCACGTTGCCATGGCGCCACAGAGAGCCAAGCTCTTCTATGCCTCTTTAGTTGACAGGTTTAGGAACGCCTATAACAATGATGCAATCAAGGGTATGTTGCTACTTTCGTTCCTGTTTCTGTAATTAATAAAATCTTATCTTCTCATCTTTGGAATAGCTTAAGTTTCTTATATAAAGTTTAGATTAGTTTATAGGTGTGTTGGCAAAACTAGCTCTTAAGCTAGCGGAAAATCATTAGCTAACTGAAAGTTTACAAGTTCTAAGTTAGGAGTCAAAAACCTGAAAGCTTATTAGTTTATTGGTTGGATTGAAAGTATTTGGTAACATTAGTTGATAAATGTAGAATGACATATTTAGTTATTTAAGGTAAAAAGAGATTTCAAATAATTAGAAAGGATAAAAATGAAAAAGAAAAAAAAACACTACTAGCTTATAAGCTAGCCTATTTTCATAAGCTAAAAGCTTACATACCAAATAAGCTTATTTTGGTATGTACCAAAAATTATCTCTTACGTACCAAAAAACAAATTAATTTGGTAGAATTAGCTTATAAATTCCTCCAAAGTCTTTTCACAACACACACTATATATAAGTCAGCTTTTGGAGATGCTAAATAAGAGATCTTTTATAATAAATATTCATTAGAGAAATTTATCCAAGTAGGGTCTATTTTATGCTATAAAATGTAGTGTATGTACATATGGTGATTTGGATTGGAGTGTTGGACCCGGTTTCCATTGAGAAATTCTAGGTTTTATGAAATTTCTATCAAATCCTTTCATTTTTCTCTCTTCACTGACAGAGCAGAGGGATGTTGTATGGTATGCAACAAGGACTAATTTTAACAAGTTGTGTATCGTGGTCAATAAAGACAAACGCCAGTGCAGTATTTTCGTGCACTCTATCAATTCAAGAAGTTGTTAATTCAAAAACAAAATAAAATTGGCATGCAATGGCCAAAGCCTGAATTCAGTCTTATCAACATTGTAATAATCAAGTCCTTTAGCTGATTGCTAGTTACATTATAAAAACATAATATTCAGAATACCTATGATCATGAAGACTGTTCAATTTTCCCCCATGGCCTTGGAAATAATTAGTTGTTCTATGAGATTAGTCAATACTGATTTCCTTTATGGAGTTTTAGACTTTTAGTTGTATTTGTTGCTTTGCGTTGATTCATTTAAATTCTGCTGGAACCTTACTCTTAACTCTTAAGCTCCTTTCCATCTCTTATGCAGACGGTGTATTTGGAGCAATGATGAAGGTAAAGTAATGTCACTTAATCCTTGTACAGGGTGCTTTTATTGCCTGATAATTCATAACGCTGCCTATGTCTCACGTTATGGCGAGCAGGTAAATTTGGTTAATGATGGACCAGTTACAATGCAGCTTGATTCACAATCACCCAAGTAAGTTGATGATATTACTTTCATTTTGAATGAGAAATGTTGGTCTCTTTTGTTATAAGAATTTCATTGACAATTGAAATCATTCAGGAATTCAGTTGATGCAGTAGAATCTTGATCAGTGGTCATCTGGCTTGATGAAATTTGAGTTTTGAATTATAGCTCCTGTCAGAAAGACCAAATGTAAAACATGATTTGTGTTGTTCGTTCTAGTAGAAGTTCTTTCTCCCCCAATTAATGTAGTGATTCCATTTTGTAACACTATTTAGTTCAGAGTGCCTTAGATTGTCCTTGTCCGTTCTGCCATCTGAGGATAGAGTTTGGATCCTTCTTGGACAAAAAAACAAGCTAATACCGGATGAATACTAAACTGGGTAGCTGTTACCCTACAGTTGAAGTCTAGTTACCATATGCCAAGTTATACTTTAACTGATTCGACCGAGAAACCTGTTGAAGGTTCCTCGCCCTCGCCATTCCTAATATTTATTGTTGACCGAATGTGTAATAAGATTTTGGGTTCTTTCTACTCTCCATGGATGAGTAATGTTATTTCTTCACACAAATCTTCCTATTTCTTTGTACAGAAAATATAAATAAGAAAAAAAAAATACATTTATGTGTTGGAAATATAAAATGCATTAAATACTTAACAAGAAAGTACTAATGCAACTTTTAAATAAATAAATAAAAAATTCACTTTATATTTCAATGCCCAATATCCTAATGTTAGGTTAGTAAGAAACATAATTATTCTTATTGTATTTGTTTTGCTTTGATTTGCTAATATTATCTATCCCGTTCAGGTTTTTTACTTTTTTTTTTCCGCCAGTATTTTAGTTTGTTTTTTGTTTTGATGAATAAAAATGGTAGAACTAGAGGCTACTCAACTAGGCCCTAGGGTTCAGGAGTCCATTTGAGAAGGGTTATGGAAAAGGTGTAAGTTTGGTTTGGGCCTTAACCACTTGTGTCAAACTACGTTGGCACACTAGTATTTAAATTTGTATATTATACAAAATAAATTTTTTTTATACAATTAAATTTTTTAACAAATAAATATTTTTGTTTATATATATTATAGTGCAATTAAAGTAAATTTTTGGAATATAAAAATATATTTATATTTATATTTATATTTATAATAGAACATTTTATATTGTATTACAAGGTTATCTTTAACTAGACAAATTCATTTAAAAGATATCAAAATTCAATTAAGAAATGTAGATGTGTTTTAAATTGAAAGGGATAGATGATTAAAAAAAATATAATGTTACAAATAATGAAATAAATATAAAAAGAATAGTTTGAGAAAATAGAGAGATATTCTGTGGCTAACTGCATAAATAGTACTCCTCTTTGTTTAAATAGAGAAGACAGTATATTGTAAATCTCTAATTGAAAAAGGAGATCGAGAGTTGATCTTCAAGTTGCGCATTTTAATTTTTTAATTTACAATATAAAAATATCTTTTACATAATTTCTGATTTCTTTTCTATAATATTTTGAACAAACATTCCAACACTTTTTTGTTAAATACTATTTGAGAAATCATGTTTATATAATTTTTTATACAAAATTTGTACGAAGAGCAATAGAAAAAGAAGTTAAAAATTTGTTATACGCTAATTAACGTGATGAAAATAAAAAATAATGTTATAAAAAGTCTTATCCTATAAATCAGATAAGTCAACTCGTATAAAATGAAAATCACTAGATCAAAACAAATCAACCATCATTTTGTAAGACAAATCAATTATTATGATTTAAAGATGAACCAAATGCACGGCGTCTGCCGTCAAGTAAAAGCTTCATAATCTTCAGTGCGTTGCTATATTACTTTGTAATAAATACTAGACAGGGACACCACAACAAGAAATGTCACAATTAATATTGACAAATCAATTTGTGTCCTGCAAAAGCTCTTGTAGATCAACTGGTCTAGGCAGGGACAGAAACGAACATGGATGTTAAGGGGCCAAAAATAAAACTTCAATATGTTAATTAATCAGTAATTTGTTAAAATATCAATACAAAATATATTTAAAATGTACAAGTTTTTTTTTTTCAGGAGACAAAATTATAAATATTAATCATCAAGCCTCAAATTATCAATCACTTATATAATGTTCGTAATTAAGCTTACTCAATTATTTAACAAATGTTAATAAATATTTTTAACTAGTCTAATGACACTACATTGGTGAATAATTTTTTCGTAATTATGAATGGGATAATCTCTTGAAATCTTGATGCACTAAAATAAATACTAAATTCAAGATGATTTCTTTATAAATTTAGAATGATCATCAATAATTATCGCCTAATGGTCTGTTAGGATGTAAGCAAAGTCACACATCGTTCAAACAAGAGGATAAATACGAGTTTATATATACACACACTTGTCTTCATTGGCTGAGAGGTCTTTTGGGTGATGTTCAAAAACAAAACCGTGAAAGTTTGGGCTCAAAGCGGACAATATTTCACCAATGCTCAACATGGAACTAATTTATAGTTTTTTTTATATCAATGTAACTTGACTTTGGCTTAATTAACATGGAAGATGGTGCTGAGATCTTTGCCGCTAGACACCAATTTGGAGGTTAGGAAATGGGCTCTCAGTAGTGAGTATATTAGTTAGGAAATGGTTATCAGAAAAACTATGCAATAAGCATTTCTACTCATTGTAAATCAAGCTTATATTTTTTTTTTGTACCATCAAAGCTTATATTTTAAACTTGAGTAGTAGTAGTAACTATTTATCGAACAAAATTGAAGTGTAAGAATAGTATTTTTAAGATTTTTTTATTAATTACCTACCTTTTTTTTTTATTTGATTTGATTTGGATGATATGATAATTACTTCTTTTAACAATTACTAGTGTTTTTTTAACCATGTAGGATGTATATGTTAAATATTTATTATATGTAATTAAAATTTATCATAATATATATAAATAAATATTATATTTAAATATATAAATTATATTTAAAATTTGTATAAATTGATAGTTTAAATTATTCTAATATGAAATCTCCTCTAGAAAGACTTAACGGCTGGTTT